GACCATATTCTTGTCATTATTGTAATGGTGTATTAAACAGTATTTCACTAATCTATTAACTTAGCTCTAACAAGCATACTTCTATAATATATAAACCGGTTCAGTAAACAGCGTATCCGAATAAAGAAATTTGACAAATTTCTCCATTACATTTTAAACCTTAATGTTTTTTGGGTAGAGTTTAAAATCAATTTGAGAAATGTGACATATTACGGATTTCATACTCTTCGAAACAAAAGAGGATCCATCTAAATCGGTCCGCTATTTACGAAAATGTCGTGGAACTTACAAAACAAAAACAAATTCAGTCAAATTGAGAACCTACTCTAGTTTTATATTTATGGTAGATATAACAAAATCAGGCAAATTGAGAACCTTAAAGTTAAAGTTAGCCTTAAAGTTAAGTAATAATTATGAGTTCTCTCGGCATTTTAGTCCTACACAATCCCATTTCACTTTGTGAGGTATGGCAAAAGACATGAAGTCGCAGACAGTTGGAGTCGTTTTAATATAAAATCATCAAATTGGCAATACCAGTGTTGCTAAAGCAAATGCCAAACTCACTCGCATTAGCTATAAAAACGTTATATATATTTAATCAATGGTTTTGTTGCTGTAAATTTTCAGAATTATATTAAGTTGGACTTAATTATAATACGATTAAAAAAGCGAATTTACACAAGCAAATCTATTTCGAAAATTTAATTAAACCAAAAATTTTGAAACTATATAAAGATAATAAAAAACATGTCGTTATAAAGGAAAACTAACGTATGCATAAAATCGATAAAACTTTTTGGTATCTATGGCTAGAGTTATATATTTAGATAGTTACGCATACGCAGTCGCTTTGCTGGTGACCTCCAGCTGAATCAGAGATGGAAAGCTTGAAACACGTCGTTACAAGTTTTCCATCTCTGAGGTCCAGGGTTCGATACTCGGTGGAGACAAAGGAGAAAATAAACTTTTCTATATTGTCTCGGGTTGTGTTGTACCTTCGTTATCTCAGGTCCATATTATGGGGGCTTTAGTTACTCATCTTGGAATCTAACCATTGTACGTGATGCTATTTATTATTTATTTATCATACACTGGCTATTTTCCTGCGACTTTGCCCGCGTAAATTACAGACTATGTTACGCGCATATGATCTATCTACCCGTAGCTGATTTTCTTAAATCATTTTCTTTTTGATTAGTTTCGGTATTCAATGCAAATTAAAAAAATATCTTGTCTTTATAAGATCAGTATTAAATCTTTTAAAAAATCAATTCACTGTCATATGAGCGAAACAGTCCAAGAGTATATTCATAATATATTTTTTTAACAATAAAACTAAGCAGCAAACATATAAATGGCATTTGTAACGGTAAATAGATATAAAGAAATGGCGCAATCATTGGGTGGCCGCCGCCGCACCGTCGATCGCCGCTCGGACATTCATTAATAATGATACATCAATGATATCGCCAGTGTGATATCGTCATTATTTTGTCTCATTAGGGGACGTAGTGGGGGTAAAAAATTATAACTTGTTTGTCCTACGTATCTTCATATGTTTTTTTAATAATATTTTATAAAGAACGTGCGGTACACTATTTTCATTCTTTTTTCGAAATTCAAATTACACTTGGACAATACATATTATTTCATATGATCTAATCGAATATATTAATAATGAAAAACATAACTTTAATTTAAAAATAACTCCAGCTTTGACGTCGTAGCACAAATTTTGAACAACTGCAATTCGCACATGTGTAAATTGGTCTTACACTTCGTAATCGCATTTTTGTACTTATGTATGGCGAAGACAACTCCTTAAAATAAGATAAAAATTGATAATTCGCTCGGACAATAGAAAAAAAAAACTTTCAAATAAAGAACCTACATAATACAATAGAAAGAAGTAAGCAATCAAAAACAATCAAAGCGTTCGATCTTCAAATTCTTTACATCAAAATGGCCGGGCGGTACATTAAACGGCAAATATATTTACGAATCACTCATTATCAGATGGAAGTGCCCATAGAGACTGTTACCTCATAGAAAATTATTTCATGCCCAATCACATGTGCTTAACGAAAAAGTACATTTCTAATCTAAAGCCTATTGTCTTACGTGTATAAAAACTAACGATTTATATGGCTGGTGAAATGGTAAGAAGCGAAGCAGTAGCACAAGCGATTTCTGAGGGGGAAAGGGACAGCTGATGCAAAGGCTGCAGAGATGGTTATTACATTAATCAATACTAACACTGTTTGTTTATTTATTTGTTTGTCTGCATAAAATAGGTTTCAAAATTATTGGAACGATTAAAAAAAATCTTCCACCTACTGAAAGCTACATCATACGCTAGTGACATAAGGCTATAATTTACGCGGGCGAAGTCTCATTAAACTTATGGAATAATTCCTTTGTTAATTTTAGGTAATTATTCAAATATTCATTGCACGTGTACAGTCGAAATCACGTTAAATTACTACAAAAGATCAAGTTAATATTTCAATTATAAAAATTGGTATTTTGTAACAACTTGACGAGCTATCAACTTCAGATTTATGGAATATATTTGTAGATACAAAAATATAATATAAACATGTGCACTTCAGTGACAAAATGTGTGATAGTCAATCTAACTATCAGATTTTCCGACAAACAGCGGCAGACCTTGTCAAAACGTTTACTTAGATGCAACAATTTCATGTGTAACATATACATACCGTATATACTACACAACAGAAGAGGTATAGGTACTGTAACATACAGCGTTCTAAGTTCTAATGTACTGACCTCAGATAAGACTTTTGGCATCTATTTATCTAACATAATGATTTAACATATTATCATTAAAAGCTTTGATGGATAAGTGCTATTTTAAAAATAAAGATCCGTGCACTAAAAAACGGCTCTGATGATAAAAACATCCAGGTTTATAAGGAAACTTAAATCTTTTCCATCAAATCTTACTTTATGAAGCATAAACTTTCACTATGTAATGGTTTGGTAGAATCAGTCCATATTTATATTATATTGCGTAAAATATCATCTAGAGCAAATGAAATTAAGTGATTACTCTAAGCACCATTTGGTAAGAGATCTCAATTAGTAATAAAGGTTAATTTTATAAAATAATGATTTATTATTAATATAAATATATAAACTGAATTGCAATTCATATAATGTAATAATGTTTACCAAATGACGAGCAAACAAAAATCGAAAGCAACAAGCGACTTCTTTTTATCAAATAATTTATACAGGGCAAAGGCATTGAAATAGCCAGCTAATTAGAAATTAAATAAAACGATTTATTGTTTTTTTTATATTTTGATTCGATTTTTTAACCCGCTCTGTTTCTAGCACGCTCCGCTTATGACTGTAAAACCTTACGCACTCGCCGTGCCGCCCAAACTGGATGTGAGAGGAACAATGTTATAGATTCGCGCGGCGGTGTGAGCAAGAAGCTTTCGATGATGTATACGCGTGAAATGCAGATAAAACATAGTATGTCAAATAGAGCTATTATACCTTACAATAAAACAAAAACCGATATAGTATTTTATTTTAATTTAAAAATGGTATGACAAAGACAAATGCCATAAACGTTTTTTTTATTTTCATTTTAATAAGAGTTCTAGTTTATTCGAATTTAAGTACTTTTTTTTTTTCAATTGTATAATATAGAATCAGTTTTCTGAAAGTTAAGATATTTATTACTTGAAATGTGGAAACATACAATGAATGTTCATTGGAACATATAAAATAATTACCGCAGTGGCAATTTATAATCAATTCAATAACATAAAAACGAGTTAATAAAAATTGACACTAAAAATTATAATAAAAATTATCGATGTCTATTAACAATAATTTATAATATTAAATATTATATAACATAGAAAAGAACTTTAGTCGATTTCTTAACTATGAAAAAAAAACCTTATTTCTTGTAGGGGTAGCGAATCAAATAGAATTATTTATTTGCTATGAATATCGTCCATTATGCTTACGTCACTTATTACAACTTAGTCAGCCTTGGGAAATAGCATAAAAATTGTATTCAATTCCGCACATTAACAACTTTTCCTCACATTAGGAATCTTTACTTTATCAAATGAGAGCTTCGGTCATATTTTATCTGTTTTTAAAACATAGCCTGCATTCTCCCCATCCTTGTCGTGTCTTGAGGCTTTCGTCTCGCGCACCCACTCCATGTGATAGCCTCGAGCGACGCGCGCCGCTCACGTGGCCGAGCGCGGGAACGTTCCAAATTTAAATTTCGAATTCCAAATTTTAAATTCGATAAGTGACATTTGTAATCGAATTTAGTTTTTCAATTGTATTCGGCTGTGTTCTTATTTTCTTAATTCAGTGTCTTTTTTATAACTTCCATATTTAGTGTTTTTCTTTTAAACTAAAGTGATTGAAAAGCTATAAATAATTTTGTTTATATTAATAACAAAAATAAGGTGAAATTCTAAAAGATCTATTACAAAATACAGATAAGGCCTGCGCTGTCTTACAATAATATCCTGCCAAAGATAATCACATATTGGACGTGATGCTCATCGATTTCCTATACCATCAATAACGGGGCAAGTAAACAATAACATTATTTGCTGTTCGAACGAGACAGAACTATACAAAGGAGCGAGACAGAATACAAATCATCGATCTAAAGAAAATAGAATTCTCATACGAAATGTAATGGCGGTACAATAATCATGTAAAAGTTCACGATAGTTGCCCAACGTTGTAGTAACAATACACTGCGACCAATGTGACTTGAGCTTTTACAAATCGATTTTTTCAAGTTCCATTGCAAAAAAGCAAGGTCTCTTAAAGCTGGCCTGTTATAGCGGTCATCATTCGATAGATAATCATCTATCGATGATTTACGCCGTGTTAAACCGACAATGGTCGAAGATAACCTCCAGACCACAATGTGACCAATTAGTTTCCTTATAGAACTTTCGCCTTTAGATATGTTGACCAAAATGAACGGAACAAACCTGCCAAACATGATAGACCAACAGAATTTGGCTGTAGACGACAATTTTAATGATAAAAGGAAAAAATTACTAGATTTTACGGAAATAAAGGAAACAAATAACGAATACAACAATAATGGAATAGATAAAAGTGATTTAAAAAGGAAGATTGATAAAAATGGTTGCATACCTTATATAACTACTGAGTTAAATATAAATATAGAGAAAGATTCTAATAAAACAATTAGATTAGAACTACGCCATGTCGCTAATGATGACGCCTTGGCTGAATTCAAGGATGGTAATGACGAAGGTGATAGTGTTGTGCATAACGGAGAAATTGAAACTTTTCACCTTAAAGAAAGCGGTAATGTTAGAGTTAACGGAGATGAGGACGGTAATGATGCTGTCAGCCAAAACGGAGATTACGGAAATGAGAGCCAGGAGAACGAAGTGAGTATGTTTCTTATAAGAACTTTTTATTTCTGACGTGCCGGGTTTGACTGCCGTTCGGTTCAATGTAGAAAATGAACTTTTCTATGTTGCCTCGGATCTGGGTGTCGTGGCACCTGTGGCGTTATCTCAGATTATCCATAATACTAGGACTTTAATGTAATTTGTGTAATATTTATTTATTTAAGTCAACTTTAAGCATACATTAATTAGACGCTTATCTAGGTACTTCATTGAGAAATTAAGTGTACAATAATAAAAAAATGACATATGTACTCTTTTCAAATCATTTCATTTTAGGTATTAAGGAATACTGTTCTTATTTTTTAACCGACTTCATAATTGAAAAGGAGGAGTTATGTTCGACGGCGATGTAATTTTAATACAACTGTTCAATATTTTTTATCAAAAACAAAAATTAGTTAATCGTTCTTTACGACGGTCTCTTGGAAAGATTTTTCTTTATCTTAAAAAAGTCTATTCACATAAGTTTGGCAGTTAAATTCAAAATACAATATCATTAATTTAGTGAAGGCTATTACAAGCACATATGAATGTCCAAAGCTCTGCCATCTGTTTGTAAATCTACGGCGGGAGGCTTTGTACCGAGAAGAACTGGCTAGAAATTCAGTAAGGGCTGCTTTTTTCTCACTGTTTTATTTCATACAGAGATGTAAAACTAAAATTAAAAAGTGACTACATTAGAATATGAAGTCACTTACCATTGCATAAAAGACAAAAAAAGATATTATTTTTTCGTTAATCGATCAATATTCCGTGTCATACAAATTCATTGATAATAAAACTGATATACAATATGGATAATAACAGAAAATGAATAAAATTAAGTAGTCCAGATCCGAGTCATCCCCACTGGCAGCACCCGTTAACGAGTATTGCCCATAAATCAGTCATCACTTCGTTCAATCATATTTTAAGGAACGTAATGACCCTCGCACACGACACCACCGTCAATATATATTTTTGGACTGTAAATGGTTTTGTATCTTGCACTGTTAGAAACACGGACCAGGTTGCTTCTAGCGTCTACCTTAGGTCTTTCAGGCTAGATGAATAGACCTTTTAATAGAAATTATTCAAGCTATTTTAGGAATGGTTTATTTTTATTTCATTGATATGAAAACCTACAAATACCAGTACTATTAATTTAATATTACTAAAAATGCAACATACATAGGTGTATTATGAAGTATTATAAAAAAAAAATATTTACTCAAATAAGCTTATTGAAATCACTTTTGAATAGTCTGATATTTAAACGCTAAATATTTTTTGTCTATGGTGAACATTATGAATACCCGATTATGCTTTTCGAATCGAGTAAATTCTTTTTAATAACTTCAATATTAAAAAGAAGATTCTATGGTCGATTGTTTACTATTTTCTCCGTTAAATTGTAGAAAAATTTTCGATTTTTTTATTCGGTAACCTATACTCCTGCGAATTAATGCGGTGATCCCATAACATTTTTATCATAATCGAAGTGTCTTTTTTTCTTTATCTAAATTGTCGTAGATGATGTATTTCAACAACAAATACTAAAAAATAGAATGAAATAAATATTTAACATTCAACAAACATGATTTTTTGCTTGTTTTCGGTACGGGACACTTGGTGCGCTAGTCCGAGTCGAACTTCGCCGATTTTTCACTTCACGCGTTGTTGAATCTCATTCGAGACTAATTGTTTCGCAACGTGGTCGTCTTGCATACATACAGTCATGTATATTTTTAAAGTTTAATATTGATCGAGATCAATTTATGACAAAAAAACCGACATTATGTAAAAGATATGAGACCTGCGTACAGAAATGTACTGTCATCGGAGTGAGCGCGTGATCTTTTCCAAATAAAAACCGGTTCTGTGGTTCCGTACCGGAAAATTTATTTTATTTCCTCAATACCCAAAGGGTAAAATGGGAACCCTATTACTTAGACTTCACTGTTTGTCTATTTATCACCAGGGTATGGTTATCACGGCAACAGAATATATCATCTGTGAAAATTTCATCTGTGTCATCAGTTAATAAGATACAGCCTGATGACAGACAGACGGACAATATAATAATAATCCCATTTATTTTACCTTAACGGAATCCTTAAAATCACCCAATAAAACCTACGTACAGAACATCGAAGTGACCGCGTAACCTTTCCCTAAATAAGGTACAATTTTTGCTGCACCTGCGAGCGAAATTGCACTCGCCGTTAATGTTTCAACATGGCTTTTTCGAATTGATGGGACGCAATAAAATTGAATATATTGTACGCATTATTATTTTCAATGTTTTCAAATTGTTTTATAAGCGAAAGATAAGAGACTGACTTTCGTATGTAATAAATCAGGCAGTATTATTTTCCTTAAAATTATGGTTTTTAATAAAAATCTTGAATAAATAAACTTACTATTTCCCGTGACTTCGTCCGCGTGGATTAATGTCTGCCTCCCGCGTATGACATAGTTTTCCGTAAATGAAAGATTTTTTAAATAAAAAAACTTAAAATAAAATATTTTTTTTAAATCAGTATCAATAATATAAGCATTGACTTGTAAATGGTTAGGTTTAAAATCGATTAAAGAGCTTAATATACTTGATAAATTTGTATTATGATCTCTGGTAGCGGATTTGAAAGAACAGAGACCTATATGTGTAATTTTAAATTCGATCACAATCCTTTTCAAATTATTATTTGAATGATCTTCTATGTCATAGATACACATTATCTCCAATCTAGAATTAAGATTACCTATTAATCCAGAATTGCATTTAGCCCATCACTACAAGTTTTATATAATATATATATATTTAAATAGAATACTGATACTCTTTCATTTATTATATTTAATAATTTTTGCAATATCAATGCTATACTAATAAATATATTTAATAAAAAATGCTTTAAAAATCCACCCCGATACAGGGGAGGATACCCGAGTTTGGTGGATTTTATAAGCATTTTTCATTAAAGACTCTTACATTTTCTTTTTCTTTTAATGGAACATTTTTGGAAAGCAAATATTTACTTCAATCTCCGAGACATAACTCTGATCAGTTGCAGGGATATGACTTAAGTATTCATAATCCTCCAACTTTGTTACAAATTCGTTACGAAACACCCAGAATTTCATACACCTATAACAAGTGTTAAAAGAGGCAATAGATATCTAAACAAACTAAAAATACACTTGTCTAAATTAGAAATAGTCGCATCTGGCCCGCATGCTATATCAATAAAAATCTATAATCATATTCACCATCACACCACCAGCCCTTTTACGTCCCAACTGCAGGGGCTCAGGCCTTCCTTATGGATGGTTAAGGAGGATGGGCCATGACCCTCCACGCTGGCCCAATGCGGTTTGGTGGGTATTAACGACTGCAAATGCAGCCAGGACCAACGGCTTAACGTGCCTTCCGAAGCACGGAGTAGCTCGAGATAGTAATTTTTTGGTCACCCATCCCGTGACCGACCCTTGCGAAAGTTGCTTAACGACTACGATCGCGGGCCGCGGCGCTTATCCACTACGCCACCGAACGCTCACCAAACGTTAAAATCATATACCAAACTATATTAAAAATCTGGAAACAGAAATGTCATTTAATAATCAATTAAAATTATTTCTACTACATAATGAAAGCATATTAAAATATAGACGTTTTTTAAAATAAAAACTGACATAAATATTATTATTATTAATAAATTAAAAATTGTTATTGTTGAACATTGTTATATATGAAATGCCTGATTTATATTTGATTGTTGTTAAGATTCATTGTTGTAAGTTTCTCGACATGTAATTTCTAATATTATTTAATATATGGTGTTTGTATTTTTGCAATCTTCCATAATTGTATTGTAACATTGCAATGCTTTACAAGGCGTCACATGTACACGAACAACAAAACAATAACCATTTTAAAATTGTAAAGTGACATGTAATAAATGATTTGATTTGACTTTGAGAAATTGTTCAAATGATAGATAATTGAAGATATTAAATCGACCCGAGCGAAGTCGATGCGCGCCACTAGTTTCAAACATAAGGTGTCTCTTTGATTGACTGTTGTTCACGTCAGATGTCCCGTTTCATACATAACCAACTTTAACATAAACCAACGCAGTGTCCGCTATGCATCGGTGCACAATCACAAACAATTCTTCATATTCTAATATCGAACGAGTAATGTACTGCGCTAATAAGTCTGTCTGACGTTGTCGTGTGTAGTCTAAAGTCGAATTCTGTGTATCGCAATATATCATGTCGTGAAAAAATGCAACGGCAAGATGTTGGGCCAACTGGTCATATATTATTGTTATACCGTTGGCCTATTGATAGCAGGCCCTACTACGAGTGCCAGTCGAGTATCGAAAATTTAAAAGTGAGAATTTACCATACCATCATGAGTGCCAGCAAAGATCGTGGCTATTCTATAAATCAACAAAGCGTCGAATAATGTGTTGTGGCAGCATAAGACTTATAATCAAACAAATCTTATGTTACCTTTTTAAGTAGGTTTTATTCGATCGAATTTCTAATGCGGCGATAGCATTTGACGCTGAATTTAAACAGAATAGCACTCCTGGTAATGAAATACTGACGCCAGTAAAATTTATCAGTATTCATTTTTCGATGCTATTATAAATTATCTATATATCTAATCATATATATTTATATATCTAGTCATATATATATTACTTTATTTCAGTTTTCGGAATGCCTTTGTTAGTCTAAATACTTATTTTAAATTAAGTAACACTTGATAGAATTCAATAAAACTACAACAATAAAAAATGTTGATTAATCTGTAAATAATAAAACAAGAAGATTATAAAATAATTTAAAGTAGTCATAGATGAGGTCCACAAAATCGTTAAAACTATTTAAATGTTAAAATGTACGTCATATTAATGTTGTTTATTATGTGACGAATATATTCTATGTATGCTATAGTGGTAGTTCCCTTGTTTATTGCTGTTTGGAGATCATACGGGTGTAAATTGTTTGATTGCAATTATAGGCGTAACTTAAGGTTTGTAAATATTTAAAGAGGGTATAGTCAGACAATATCTATTTTATTTAACTCGCTCGATTTAACAAAAAAGTTAAATCGAGTTTCAGCGGTAGTGTATGGTTGCGGTGAAATGACTAGATAGAGGCGTGCACGCGTGGGCGGATGTCTATGGTCGCCG